ATATTCCAATGTCTAAAGTTAATATATACCTTATCCAAATGTCTAGGAGTCGAATGAACAGGGACAGGTCGCCAGGTCAAACCTGATACAAAAATTTCTTCATTGGTTGGTGGATATAAACCTGCTAATAAAACTTGCGCGGACATTATACACCGATCCGCATAACTACTCTGCGTCAGAGATAGAGTACTATCGTATGTGTTGCCAATTATCGAGCCGTATTCAGTGCGAATCCATTGACCAATGTTATACATTCGTAGCATACCATCCTGTATATAATGTGAAACATTCAGAATTATGTATATTAATGATTTTTACAATGGAAAAATTTTTTTTTTATAAAATAATAATAGATCAAAAAACTTATACAATTGATATTAATGTTGAATAAATAAATAAACTATTTGTGTGATTATTTATATAAATATATGTATATATATTTTGTTTCGAAAACACTATTTTTAATTTTATGATTTTAATGATATAATATTAATAATACTAATAATATTTTTTCTCATTACATCACATATCTTTTATAAATTTATATAATATCAATTTTAACTTAACAAATAAATATATTAACATGTTTGGATTGATAAAAAATCAAATTATCGATTATAATAAAAATACATATCTAAAATTGATATGTAAATGTAATGAAACAAAGAAATATAATCTATAATTAACATTTCAATTTATTATGATAACAAATATGTTAATATTTATTATTTTATTATAAAATTCGATTGATTAATGTAAACATATGTAATGCATAGATCCATTCGTCAATTTAATAAATTTACTTAAAATTTATAACCTTTGTTAAAGCTCCCCAACCACCTTGCCATTTGTAATTCCGATATGGATCGTTTGGATAAGTTTCCGTAGGATTACGATCTCCATGTCGAAAAACCTGTTGAATCATTATCAAGATTAATTGTTACAAGGATATGATACACTGATCAAATCATGTATCAAAATGATATATGTACTTACAAATATCACCTGTTGTATAGAAGTTTGTGTACCGTTGTGTATCGTTGAAGCAAATGCCACATACGCAAACAATACAGAACCGATACCGATACTAAGTATCGAAACCATGATGTGAGTACCTATGTTATTTCGTTGAGAATTGTTACACGATTTTTGTTTATTTTCTTCATTCATTCTATTATATTTATTGTGTGTGCTTTGCAAAAAATCATCTGGAAGGAATGCGGCTTTCATTGATTGATTTAGATGATTTATTATATTTATAAAAATAATATATTATAAATAAAATAGCATATTAACCGAAAATCAATTTAAGATAAGATTAGAAATAAAATCGTGTAATAAAAGAGGAATGTATTTTCCTTATTACGCGAGACTTTTTGTCACATACAAACAGTATATTGAATATATGTATATATATATATATATATTTATTTCATTTGTATATTATCAAATAATATGTATTATATGTATGTATATGTATTATATAAAAAATCATTTCTTTCTAAGTTTAAGAAATTGAATTAAAATTGTATTTATTTTATTACCATTAATTAGTAATTGAATTTAATCTTTGATCAATGTTTGTCGATATAACCGTTTTTCTCATTACTTTTTGTTACTTTTCATTACCGTTGTTCTTATTATTGCCCAATCGATCGGTGAAACGAAATAGAAAGACATATATATCAGTATGAACAAATGACATTTAAAAATTTATACGTACATATATCTTTGAAGATACGTTTGCGCATATAGAACAACGCAGACAGAAAAACAACGTTGTCGAAAGATGTGGAAAAAAAGAGAGGAATCGATTAACAAATCAATTATTAATTTTTTGATAAAAACAAAAGCACGCGCGATAATTCCTAATTAGGTAGAAAATAAATGTTTATATTTTTTAAAACAACACATTAAATACACATGTCGGTAGAAAGAATGTGCAATGTATCGATATGATCCGTCAGATAATATCGTATAACGTATTCGACACTAGAGTGCGCTCATATGCACATCGTAATGGTGGGGAGTGTGTTGTCACAAAGTATAGTAAGTTGTCACAAAGTATAGTAGTATAAAATATAAGAAAGATATAAGATCGAGCAATCTGACAAAATTGTTTTAAGAATTCATAATATTCAATTATTATGGTAATTTCTATATAAATATCTTATATCTATATATATATATATATATATACATATTATAAATGAATAATAATAATGATTTTCGGTAATTGATGGTTATTTATTTATGAGTATTTATTTGGATATATTATAATATCAGTGTTAATTATCAATGGTAATATAGCAATAGTTGCTATCGATAAGAGACTCTTGTATACTAGTTAATCTAAATATTGTAATAATGAAAAAAATAATTTATGATTAGCTATTTATGTATTTGCAAATTTAAAAAAATAAGGAAAAAATAATAAATAGTAAAAATAATGCAGAAAAGAAAGGTACATTGGATTTATTTTCATTAACTTTACATATGTATTGATACGTTGACTGTTGGATTCAACAGCATTCGTTCGAAAACATAATCGGTATAAAATATATAATTAATTCAAAAAATAAATAATAATCATTCACATACTTATGATATATTAAAATACGATGTATTATGAGTATTTATAATAATAAAATGAGCTATAATAATAATACAGTTAATATTAATTTGTTAACGGAAAAATATTCCTATAATTTCATTCATTCGAAATAGAATTTACATCATCTCGATTAGAATTGTGCATTGAAATTGTCGTTGAAAACATTCTTGCGCAAAGAAAATATTGCTTCGTTGAATCTATAAGAAGCATGATCGAAAAATAGAAACAGATTTTTCGCATTAATTTTAATTATAGGATATTCGATCGATCATAATTTCTTATATAATGTTTAATAATATAATTTAATATAATTTTACCTACATATGTTTTCATGAATTCTGATAATAATGAAATACGAATGAAGTCACTTTATAACTAGAACGATGACTAGAATTTAATTAATTATTTTACTATCAAAATATAAATTGAAAAATATGCGAATTGGATATATGAAATAAAAATAGAAAATTAATTTAAAATAAATATAGATTTAATTTATAATATTAATCAAAAGATAAAGCAGCTAAAATTGTTAGATATTTTGTGATAGATTTTGAATAGAAAAGAAATCTTTACGAACGAATGCAAGAAAGAACGCGCATAAATAAACATCTATGATGTTAAAATTCGAGAAATAGCGATCAATCGATCAAAAATGTGTTTTAATCTAAGCTTGTTCAGAACGACGTCGACGGCCAGGTCCTCCGGCATAATTTGCCGCGGCTAGTCCCATTAAATGTTTTGCAGCTTGTGATCCGCTGAATCCACGACTCAAACCGAGATCCAATCCTCGTTTGTTACTGTAAAAAGGAACCGCGGTCAACGCGGAGAAATTTGTAAAACGGATAATAGATATTTTAATGATTAAGTTAATTAAAAGAACGTGATATCAATATAATAATATATTACGTTATATTTACTTTTCAAGCTCTGGATTGCGTATCATGGTGTGACCAAGTCGAGTAATAATTTCCATCAATGCTTCCGGATCTTCTTCATCAAATTGACTCCAATATCCTTGTTGACTATATATAAAATGAAAATGAGAATCTCTTTTAACAAAAGCATATCCGTGAAAATCTCATTACTAACGTCGTTTTAACTATCAAATTTATAACTTCTTTGTTTATCAAGCTACGTATACGCGATACTGATAGAATGAAAAGATACAACAACAACATTCTCGTCTCTTTAATTTTAGATACACTGGAATCGTTTTCTCTCATTAAACGATGTCTCATTAAATGGAACTAGGTTAAATTTCTGACATTGCCAGATGGATCTTCCGTTCACTTTGTACGTATATATTTTTTTCTCGATTTCTTTGTAATATAATATTCACAATTAAACTGATTCGCGAAATATATATATATATATATTTATATATATTTATAATATATTTTTATAATACATATACATTTATTATTATATTATATATATTTATAATTATTTATATATTATATATTATATTTTTTATAATATATTATCCTGGATTATGAATTTCATCGTATCTTTTGGAAAAAGTAAATAA